TTAGAACATAATACATATCGGAAATTCAGCAGAAAATCCCGCTTCTGATCTCGGAAATACATCAGGATAAGGTTAGTTGCAGGATCATGTTAGAGCCGTGGTGTAGCGTTGCAGTACGCTAGCAACCCGGGTTCAATCCCCGCTGGCACCAATGAAATTATTGATTGGAATTTTAAGTACTGATTTACCACGTGCTCGGCGGTGAAAGAAAACATCGTGAGGAAACCTGCATGTCTGAGAAATAAGAAAAAAAATTCGAAGATATGCGAAGTTGGCCAAAACGCATTGGGGCAGCGCGGTGAAAATTTCCTTGCCCTAAAACCCTCTCAGAAGTGAGGGGAGTCCTGTGCCCAGCAGTGGGACGTATATAGGCTGTAACTTTAAGGTTAGTCATTAAAATAGTAAAAGTGTGAGAGCGGATGTTCAACTTGCTCTCTTGCTTACGTAATTAATCATTATCAATAATAAGACAGCGTAATGTAGTGCATAATACATCATCTATTATAGAGCAATTACATTTCGACCATACCGTAACATGTCCCCGTCACAATTACACACTGGTGTAACATAAAGGACATAATTACATGATAACACCAAAGTATGCAAACCAACAGCAACATTATACATCAGTGTAATACAGAGCAGCCTCTTAGCAACACCAATCCTCCTTGCCTGCACTAGAAGAACCACCACAACGGGCAGAACCACGACACTATCTTAGCACTCGTAGAATGACTTCACTCATAGAATGACTCAAGCGGAATCTCTCGCACACGGTGCATACAGTGAGCTTTATACCGCACAAACGAGTGGGGATTACTCGATATACCCTCAATTCAATCATAGATATGACGCTCGGCTAGAGTGACGCAACATCTCGCTCATTCTCGATCCAACTGGTATTTTATAGACGTGCCGACATATATAATAGATGCTTCATATTATTCATATCCAGTGCTGGATTTACCAGCAGGCTGAGTAGGCTGGAGCCTAGGACGGCAGATTTTAGGGGCGGCGCATTTGGGGCTATAACTTTTTAATTATTTACTTGGTTGATAAATTTTCTTACAATTTGCGTTTGGTTGTGGCGCGGAAACGAGTGACATGACCATTCGCTAAGTGTGTTTAATCGAAATGCCTGCCCTATGTAGTATATCTATGGAAATGCTGACCGAACGAACGAGACGCGGCCGCCGCGGGATCCGCAGCAGGATCGTACTGCTGAAGGCGTACGCAGCTCTATAAAGTTAGCAGTGAAAAGTCAGCAGAAACCTTAAAATTGTATCTCGGAATTCGTAGCTAATTTGTTGCTAATTAGTTGCCAAAATCGCGATTTTGTTGCTCCAACCGGTTTTGAGAAAATTGATTTACTGCTATCTTTACATTAAGATAGCAGTAAAAACTTTCAATCAACCCTTCCGTAGTGGATAAAAAAGGGATAATTTGTTGCTAATTAGTTGCTGAAATATAATACAAAAAATATAACAAAAAACAAAAATAAAAAAAAATTAATAAAAAGCAAGTCATGTTTAAATACTGATTCTGAAGTTAGAAATTAATGAAAATTTTGCTGCTGATTAATATATAGATCAATAACTCCCGGACAGCCTACAACAACATAAAATCGGACGATAAGCTACAGCTTGATACATCAAGTAAAAAGTTACAAAGAAATATGTACATGCTGCCTATACGGGAGATTTAAAAACAGAACAACAGATATATTGTTGGTGATCAGTTATGGAAGCACTAAGTCATAAAGAGCCAGTAAAAAATACAATCGATCTATGAGCTGCACCAAGTAATTAGTTAGTAATTTTTTGTGTACATGCTATATTTACGTGAAAATTTTAAGAATAAAAGTTAGCAGAATTTTGTTGCTGCTCAGTAATGGTAGCAGCAAGACATAAGTAACAAAATAAAATCGATCGATGAGCTGACCAAGAAATTAGTTTGTAATTATTTGTGTACAAGTTATATCATGAAAATTTTAGGAAAAAAATATAGCAGATATTTTGTTGCTGGTCAGTAACTGAAGCACCAACTCCTTAGGAGCCAGCAACAAAAGAAAATAGATCGATAAGCTGCACCAAGTAATTAGTTAGTAATTATTTGTGTACATGCTATATTTTTATGAAAATTTTAGGAAAAAAATATTGCAGATATTTTGTTGCTGGTCAGTATCGGAAGCAACAACTCATAAAGAGCCAGAAACAAAATAAAATAGATTGGTAAGCTGCACCAAGTAATTAGTTACTACTATACATACTAATATTTCTCTTGCATAATTTTTTGGATAATTACTTATTGGACAAACGTTCTGAAGAGGGTTCTTGCCGTAGTATGATAACGCCGCAAACATGTATCGTGTGTGTACAATGGCTAAAAATCAAAGCCAAGCACCTTTTGGTTTTTTCGTTCCTTGCTCTTTCCTCTCTTAAAATTTAGTGGCAACTGCGGCTGCTGAACCAACATTCACAACAAACTACGGCTGCTGAATCAACAAGCTTCTGTGCTACGCACAGGAGCCTGCCGATATTTACGTTATATTATTTTATTTTATTATGATGGGTAATACCTGAAAACGTGGATTTACCAAGCTATTCGAGTAGAGGCCGAAAATTATTAAAATAACTATAATTTCTCTAAAATTTGTCAAAAATATGTCGTAGAGAATAAGTTTCCCGGAAAGTAGGTGAGCAGTCTAAATTCGATGCCCACCGAAATCAACGAAATTGTTAATAGCAATGTAATCATATAATACATCACGTGCTCAATGGTGAAAGAAAACATCGTACATTTTTAAAATTAAAGTAAATGGCAAGTAAGGCGCAAGGCAGCGGGATGGTCTGACCCTTTCCTGCTCAAAACACCTCTCAAAATGTAAGATGCCTGTACCCAGCAATGGAACTTACATACATAGGATGTACAATATGCAATCGTAATTGAATATTTGAATTGAATATAGAAATCGTAAAAGATAGTAAATAGATAAATATATACTCAATATATATATATATATATATATATAATAAATATATACATAACATTATAAATAAATTTTACGTGTCTGTCTGATATCGAAAAAACTACCTTGTATTAAGCTGTCTGTTTGTCTGGCCTAATGTTCATTCTTGGAATGGCTGAACCAATTGCGTCATGTTTCAAAATCGAAAAACTGAGGTTTTTGATGAATATGTTATACAGGGTTATTTTTCAATAGCCGGCCAAATTTGCAGAGAAGGTTCAGAATAAGTAATATAGGCAAATGATGAAGAAAAATTAATTATAACAAATCTCAAACATTCTGTCCTTTTTATCTTTTAGATTCAAAATGCGTGGTAATGCATTATTTTTACTGACTTAATGCGCACGCACACATTCGTAAAAGTCAATTGGTAGGCAAAAACGTTGTTGCCCATAAATCATATTCAATTTGGGATAATTTTATATAAAAGTAGAAGCCTTATTTACTCGTATTTACAAAAACTGCAATAACGGTATATCATTAGTTATATATTTCAACTTAAGTTTAAAATTTGGCTACTCTTTAAAATAATCCTGCATATTATTTTATTTTCATAAATTTTTGCTGGTTTGCAATTTTATAGGTACAAAAATATCTTTATACTTTATTAACTTAATGGTTGTATAAAAATTGCTTTCTAGTTTTTTTTACTTTAACACAATTTTCATCTAAACTATGAGTATTATCATCTTGATAAGACTTTTCAATTATCAAAGCATTTTCCGATTTTGCACAGTTTTCGAGATAATACCAAAAAAGTGAATTTTAAATGGTATTTCGATAATTTAGCCACTTGCGCAAAGACCACTATTATAGATCTTCAGGATTTTCGTTTAATTTTTACGCGAAAGAAGTCGCTGTTAGAAGCTAGTTATCTAAAATAATATCACAAGATAGCTCTAGCTTCATCACCACAAGATATTTTTGGGCTTATAACGACTTATTTAAGCTCTACCTAGTTTGACCTCGAATCTAACTGGTCTGTATTATGAGATAGTGAGATAAATTACCACGCTATCGTAAGATATTATTGGTCTTGTACCAATTTATTTAAGTTCTATGTAGTTTACCTGATATGAATCATGAGATAGTGATAATAATGCTCCTATTCCACAACCGTAAGATAAACATTGGATTTTTAGCAATTTATCTAAACTCTACCCCACGACTCTACCTAATTTGTTATTGAGTCTATCTAGTTTGTGTCCTAAGATAGTAAAATAAATTCTTACAGTGATTGAGTAAGAATCTTATCACTTTAAGATAATAAAAATAAAAATTTATTAGCCTTTTAACGATTTACCTAAGCTCTATCGTTTATCTCCGACTCTACTTAGTTTGACCACGCTCGAAGGGATGGAAACATACCTAAGTGTTTGACGCTTACCTTACCACCTATGATATAGGTCACCGGTCTAATGTTGATTTCGCTCGCTATCTCTTAGAAAATGTCCCTGCTCGGACGCTTTTCATATCCCTGATATATGTTGGGGAAAACAACCCTATAGTGGCTTTTTAAAATATTCATCACCCCATATCGTTCCGTGAATGTCATAATTAGCGACAAAAATATAGTTGCCAACCAGGTGGCAGGCGCCAAGCGTGACAACTAAGGCAAAATACCCCTATGAGACAATTTGTGAGGGAAGCCTATGTTCAGCTGTGGACTTTTATAGGCTCTAATGGATGGAATGGACGTATGATTTCCCGTGTTACTTCGTTTGAGTTAAAAATGAGTCAAGTTAATAACGAGGAATTTTACTTAAATATAATGCAGCCATATTGTCAACGATGGAGCGCAAATTTAGAAAATGAAGCTTATGTGAGTTGAGCGATAAGACCCAGATATCGTTGATGTTAAATAATACTTATTTCTTCTGCTAGGGTTCGCGAGTACGCACGCACGGGGCCCGATGCGCTGAATGCATTCACTCCCTCCATCCGTTCATTCGATCCCCTGGCTGGCTCACTCAGTCGTTCGGCCGTTCGCGTCGAGTGAGGACGTACTCGGTTGATGAAAGGTCGCCTTGGCGCGTAGTCATCGACGCACGCAATTTTTAAAATAAACTCCGACTTGTTTCTGTGTTCACGTACAACCGTGTCCAAAGGGAACGCCGGCTCCCAATAACTGGATCCGCTCTGTTTTTTTTTATTGTTTTTCGTCGGCAAGTGCAAAAAGTGATGTTATGTGCCCAACGAGCATTCCGTCCTGTGTAACGTTGCAACAAAGTGAACTCAATGGATGTAATGTGGTTTTAAATTGGAAACGTTAATCCATTTTGCTGAATCAGAGCTGAATATTGTAAAAAGGTTAGTGTTAAATATTTCTAGAATTTCCGCTCAAGGTGTCTGTTTGCAAACTTTGATAAGGCGATTACGTATGAACGAAGATCAAAGAATGAGTAATACGTTTAAGGTGTTTTAAATTAAATACACTTTATACACTTAGTATTCTAAAGTAAACCCTGGCGAATAACGAAATTTCAGTTTTATATTTTAATTTAAATTAAGAATTAAAAGAATAAAATAGTTTATACATTATTCTAAAATGTAAAGAGTTGGTACATGTGCAGATTTATTTAGAACCTACAAAAATAAATATGAATCAACTTGAAGAGGCCACCGCAATGAGCAAACGTTGAAGTGTACAAACATTGCTTATGGTGTCCGCGCGCGTTATTACACAACATTTTAATAAACATTTCTAACCGTAAAATTGCTATACATCAAACAATTTTTATACTGCTTGTAATCAACAAAGTTGTTTTATATTCGATCATGTTTAATAGAGCCATGAAATACAAAACTGTTCCGCAATAAAATGATATACTAATACAGGCGATTAATAATAAAAACTTACGTAAACTTACATTGCTCTGCTTATGAAATATTTTCCACGGAGTATTTATAAAAAAAATTGTCATTGATAATACTAATCAATTCATAAATTTTCCAAGAGTTCAGTGCTTAATCAAAATAAAAGCGTTCGAAATTCAAAAATTTTTGGCTATTAATAAAGGTCACATATAAAATATTTAAAAAAAATAAAAATAATCATTCCTACATAACAGTAGTAATAAAAATAATATATACAGAACTTGACTACATCCCGAATTACTATCATTAAATTGAAGGTCGGCCGTATAACAAATCGAAATGGTCAATAAACAGCGGGGGAGAAAAATAAATATCAAACGATACGTAGGTACTTAGTTTTTCCGTCTCTCGATTATTTTGGCCTAGGTCCAGAGGCTTGCGGCAAGCACTTCCTTACGATTTGACAACCTCCTTGACGACAGACATGTTGACATTTTCAGATGAATGTAGCATATATATATATAATCATATTTTATAAGTATAAAACAACACAGTATACCGCTTAGAAACCATATAGATAAACAAGTTTATCATTAAAGTAAGGTCATTTGTAACTTCATGTATGTTTTTTTTAAAATTAAAATACTGGTTTGTAAGATGCATACGAATAATTACAATTTGTACACATGAGAGATGTTAGTTTTTCGAAACCTTTGTTTTATTTCCCGCGTTGCGTTAGTTGTTATTTGCAACATTTTCATTAAATATCGGTCTATAAAACATTAATTCTGATCATCGTCACCATCACAAGTCTACTGTTGAATACCGACCTCTAAGGAATGCAATAAAACAATGTCCTAAGTATCTGCATCCTTCAACTTCCTGCAAATCTTACCAGGTAGTCACTCCAAGCTCGGGGGGCACTCTACATTTCGCTTACCTGTACAAGACTGCTACTCGAGAACCTTCGCATCTGCTGTTGGTTCTTTGAGCTATATACTTATATATATGATCTGCCTATTGCTACTTCAGTTTACTGACACGTTGGACTATGTTAGTTACCCATTGCGGATATCTTCATTACGAATTCTAACACACAGAGAAACTAACATTCTCTTTCGCAGTTAGGCCGGCCACATACATACGGAATTCCGTTTCGAGATTCCGTTTCGATATTCCGATTCGGAATCCCGAACGCAGCAAGTCCATATAAAATCTATGGCCGGCCACATACATGCGGAATTCCGTTTCGAGATTCCGTTTCGATATTCCGATTCGGAATCCCGAACGCAGCGAGTCCATATAAAATCTATGACCCGCCACACACGTACGGTAGTTTTCCGTTCGATATTTTGCGGATCAAACGGGATTCCGTTTGTGTGTGGCCGACCGTTCGAAATTCCGAAACGGAATCTCGAAACGGAATTCCGTATGTATGTGGCGGGCCTAAGACTCGCCACACACGTACGGTAGTTTTCCGTTCGATATTTTGCGGGCAAAACGGAATTCCGTCTGTGTGTGGCCGACCGTTCGAAATTCCGAAACGGAATCTCGAAACGGAATTCCGTATGTATATGGCGGGCCTTAATATAACTTTTTTGTTCATTATTATAAACAGTTGATTCATTGTACATGCACCTACTCAATTTTGATGAGCTCAGTTTTATAGGTATGATTCGTTAACACGTATGAAAGGTTACACCGTCATTTAAAGCGTAGGTATATTTGTTTATTGAACTGTATTTCTTGGAACTCTTATGTCAATAGGGTTTATTTTGTTGGCCCGCTTTGAAACTTGCAACTATAAACATTATTTTGTAAAGTATGCGAACAAAAGGTGTAGCTACAATAGCCATTGTGTCAGTGTTTATTCCGTTTTTCTATTATTTATACAATAATTTTTAAAAGTAAATTTTAATTTAAATCCTCTTATTTTTATAATAAATTTCTTTGCCTGTCATACAATAGAAAATAAACGAAACAGCTGTAAACAGGTATTATTTATAGTAATTAATTCGTTATTTTTTTTAAATTGGATTTTAATGACAATTTATGTCTTAAGTAGGTATATATTTGCAACTGGGTGATAGAGGATGTGATTTGCAAGACAATATAGTGATTAGGATTAGGGAAGGAATGCTTCAGTGGTTTGGACATGTAGAAAGAATGAATGAGAAAACGGTGACAAAGAAAACTTATGCGGCAAAAGTGAGTCGGCAAGAGACCATTTCGACCAAGAATACCTTTAACCGACGAGCATGCATACGTTAGACATAAGGATGTAATAATTAAAAATTTTGTACAACCCGACTACAATATAAATTATTAAGAATAACTCAAAAACCATTGGTCAGACTTTGATCAAATTTACATGGTACCACATGAAAAGTACCAGCTTTCAAATAAAAAAAAGAATAATTGTAATCGGTTCTACCAGAAAATAGTTATGAGGTAACTAACACACATATTTTATATGCATGCAGTCGAATTGAGTACCGTCTCCTTTTTTGAAGTCGAATAGAGCGAAAGAGGTGTGCAAAGAGTGCGGAGTGACAACGCATTTGCAATCCCCTGATATTGCAGTTGTTCATGGGCGGCGGTAGTCACTAATCATCAGGTGAGTCGTATTCTCGTTTGCCCCCTCTTATTTAAAAAAGAGACAGAAAAAAATGTCTATGGTCAAAGAATTTATTGTCTATGGTCACTTATATTTAGGTAAGTAGTGTGCTTCTTTCTTACCCTTATAGAATATACAAAATTGACCGTACTATTAAGTACACTTCTAGTCAAGATAAATTATGATACTGTATACCCTTGCCTTTTATCTCTAGCCGATATATGGATTTTAGCCCTGAAGTCCCGAGGTACCTCTTCTTTTAATCCCGAGGGAATCCCGTTTGAAATTTGGGAGGTATTAACTGTTATTTTGTTGCTTGTCTTCGTTCACGTTACAATTCTTAAGGACGTGATCGCGAGACGAAAAAAGGAATCTCTTTCCTTTCCCTACGCTACCTGTGCTCTGTTATTTATAATTTCTATATTTAAAAATAGAAGCAGTTCTCTTCGCGTGCACTTTTTTCATCGATTAAAATGCATATATATTTCTTGGAAGTCAAGCTATAATAAAAAAGTTAATTATATAAATGCATGTTAAAAAGTTTTCTGTGTCAGTTAATTCTTCTTAAAAGCCTCAAGCACTATTTGATATTTTAAAAAAAATCATATTTCAATTACATTCAATTTCATAATAATGATTCTTTATAAATATGGATATCTAGAGTTTCTTTATTTTGTTTAAGAATGGATTACACAGTTGTTAGTGTCGTTGTATTTGTATGTCTATTCGAATCACATGTTATAATTTTTAGTGTAAAGTTTTAATAACCTTTTCTTATCTTTTTTCTTAAAATATTTATTTTATTAGAAGATATAATACTTATTCATACCTTTTCGAAACGAATTTGTTATGGCAATATGACATCATTAGCTCCTCTCGAGGTCGTCTAAATGTCGACTGCATCTTTACAGCGTCACTTATTATTGCTAAGCATTCTTTAAGGTTTATTTGAATTATATCATAGAATGTATTGTATAATATACACATATGTGGGCTTCGCATATCAATACCAATCAGTCTAAAGCCTCTTTGAAATCAAAATTAATTATGTCTACACCTCTGTATTAACTTCGAATTATTTATAACAGACTCAAACAGTTATTATAATATTTTCTTTTCAATTATTATAAGATTGGGTAACGTAAAGGTTAATTACTCATTAGAAGAAATCCGATCACATAATTGTAACAAGCTAAATTTCTCAGAGAGATTGATAAATAATGATAGCGCCATGTTTTGTTTAACAGAATACATTCAATGCGACGCACGAGACCTGAATACTAGAGCGTTAACCCAATTAGATAGATCTTAGGTACGTAGGAGAACAATTTGTCTCGGCCCAAATAATTTCGCTGAGATGAATTCGTTATTTGCTATCGAAGATATAACGACTACTGTAGCAAGGCGGCGAATAAATATTCTCGTGATGATGCTTATCTAATTGGTTACTGTCGAGTAAAGATTTCTACTTTTTCTACACACACATAGTAGATAAAATCCCATGTTAGTTTGGGACTTATAGGTAAATGTTTTCGTAGGTTTAATAACAAAAATAAATGTGCTGTGTTACTTGCTTAGCATGGCGTAAAATTGACTAATGGTACTGAACTATTTGGGACTGTATAGGCGTTGGGATAGCCAGTTACCACTTCTCTCACATTTTCCGCTTCAATCAACTTTTTTGGCTGCATGTGGTCCAAGTAGCTCACTGCTCAAGTCTTTGCTCTTCTAATGTTAGCAACTTGTTACTTTCATACAATTCTTGTTTAGCTGACGTCAAAGAAAGGAAGATGTGTATTTTAATACGTATTAAGTTGAGTGAGTTGAATATCTTAGAATAAAATAAATTCATGATTAGCCGGCTAAACTTAGGTTT